GAGGAGGTTGTGGAATAAGGACTCCAGCCTCGAGCAGGGGGATGGACTAGAAGATCTCAAGGGTCCCCTCCACCCTGTCTCTGAGTCTGAGGTCTCCCCCCTCCCTTCTCCCCTCCCCCCAAGCCTTCCGCCAGCCCAGCCCCCCCTGCCTCGGGGTGGGGGAGGGGAGGGGAAGCTGCCCCGGACGCTCCTGGCTCCGGGCTGAACCCCGACCCGGCTCCGCTCCTGCAGCCCTTCAGGGGGCAGAATTGAGAGAAGCCAAGGGGGCCACTCTCTGTGGGGGCTGGACCCCCTGGAGGAGGAGGAGGAGGACCCCCTGCTGATCGGGAATGACCCCCAGCGGAGCCCCCTCCCTCCCTCCAGGGAAAGGACGCCACTTTACACGTACGGAAATCTCCCTCCGGTGACCCCGGCTGCAGCATAGCGACCCCAGAAAGGGGGGGGGGGAAATAGGACTCCCCACTCAGCACTGGAGGTTTCGTCCCAGAGCCTTTAAACATGGGTATCGATTGTCTGAGGAGTTAGTGTGTGTGTGTCCGCGGTCCCCCCCACACACATGGTCCAATCCTGTGGGGGGCTTCCTGCCCCCAAACTGAGCGGGCGAGCCCAGGAGGAGTCCTCAAGCTCTGCCTCCACTTTGCTCTAGGCTCCCTCTGGGAACCGAAAGGGCATCTAGTCCACCCCTCCACACACCCAGAGAAAAGGAGGCTCTGGCTGAGAATCACGAGGGGGGGGGCGCAAAAGGAAGTCCGCCCTCACCTCCGGAGCTGGCCTGAAACGCCCCCCTAAAAGGCAGCCCCCCACCCCGACTGAAGGGATTGTTCCCCCCTCCCAACTTTCTCTGCTTCTCTCTCTGTGCCGAACTATCTCCTCCATCGGGCGAAGTCAAGGGAGGCTCTGCCCGGAGACCGATGACGCTACGGAAGGACGAATTCCCATTGGTCCCTCCGCTTTCCTGGGCCCTCCCAGGTCCGAAGTTGGAGGGAAACGCCTCCTCCCTCCCCCCATTCCAGACCCCCCGATTCCGCCTCTGGGGCTGGGAGCCTCCGCGTCTCTCGTCTCTTCTCTCTCTGGGGCGCTTGTGGGGCGGCGTCCATGGGCTCCGCTGGGCTCCCCCTGGTGCTGCTGCTGCTGGCGGGGCCGCTGGCCCGGATCCCCGGAAGCGAAGGGGGGAAGGAGACCCCCGGTAAGGAGGGGGCTCATGGGGGGAGGAGAGGGGCTGGGGGGGCCGTCAGAGCCCCTGGGGTGGGGGAAGAAAGGGGCTGGGACCCCAGAAGTGGGGAAAGGGGTCGAGGGCAAGAGAGACGGCAGACTGCGGGAGCGTCGATCTCCGCGTGGTCTCCGCCCCTGCCTCGCCTCATTTCCCCCCGCAGGACGGAGAGGGAGCCCCCTCCCCTCTTCCCTTGTTGTGGCCGAGGTGGGGCGGGGGTCGCGGGAAGGCAGCCCAGGTGGGATAAGAGGCAGCTGGGCTCCTCTCTCGCCCCCCTCCGTGGCTGGGTGGGAGGGGGACCTTGCGGACCCCGAATTAGCTCCTGAGCCCGAAGTTTCTTGCACTGAACGAGGAAGGAGACGGGAAGCGAAAGCGAAAGAGGGAAACTGAGGCATTTTCAGAGCTGAATCCAGAGAAGCCACCAAAAGTGTTTTTGCAACCTCAGTTTTTCTTCTGAATCCCCATTTTTTTTAAGGGGAGGGAAGAGTTGGATTCCTTCTTGGGGGAGACCGTGAATTTGGGGAGGAGACCCGCCCCCCCAACCCGTATTTCCCCATTGCTGAATCGGGACCTGGAGGGGAGGGGGGAACTGAGGGAGAAGGAATTGCTCCCCTAAATTGGCTATCCAAAACTGTCCCTTTAGTGAAGGGGGCTTGAGCCCCTCCTTTTGAGAGGGTCTTGGGGGGCTGCAGGCGGGTCTATTTGGGCGGGGTAGTGGAAAGAGGCCTCGAAAAGCATCCAAAGGCATCTTGCGGGGCTGAAGATGGGGTGAGGTGGGGAACCATGGGCCCTGGAGTCCCTCCTGACGCCCTCCCTCCTCCTCCTCCTTCTGCAGTCCCTTTCCTGCACCAGGGGACGTGCGAGTGCCCTTCCTCTCCTCTCCGGAGCTGCCATCAATCGCCCCCCTAAAATGCAGCCCCCCCCCAGACTGAAGGGATTCCCCCCCCCTCCAACTTTCTGCGCTTCTCTCGGCTTCGCACTATCTCCTCTTGTGGATGAACTCAAGGGAGGCTCTGCCCGGAGACCGATGACGATGTAGAAGGCAGATTTCCCATTGGTCTTTCCGCTCTTCTGGGCCCTCCCAATGACGAAATACGAGGAAACCGCTTCCTCCCCCCAAGCCAGACCCCCCGATTCCGCCTCTGGGGCTGGGAGCCTCCGCGTCTCTCTCCCCGCTCTCTGGGGGCGCTGGTGGGGCGGCGTCCATGGGCTCCGTTGGGGTCCCTCTTCTGTTTCTGGCGGGGGCGCTGGCCCGGATCCCCGGAAGCGAAGGGGGGAAGGAGACCCCCGGTAAGGAGGGGGCTCGGAGAGGGGCTGGGAGGGGCCGTCAGTGCTTCTGGGGGGGGGAGAGAGAAAGGGGCTGGGACCCCTGAAGTAGGGAAAGAGGTCGAAGGCAAGAGAGGCGTGAGACTGCAGGTGCCTCGATCTCCGTGTGGTCTCCCTCCCTCGCCGCATTTTCCCCCGCAGGAGGAAGAGGGAGCCCCCGTTGCCCAATTATGGCCGAGGTGGGCGAGGGTCGTGAGAAGGCAGCCGAGATGGGATAAGAGGCAGCTGGACCGCCTCTCTCGCCCCCCCCCCCCGTGGCTGGGTGGGAGGGGGACCTTGCGAACCCCAAATTAGCGCCTGAGCACCAACGTTTCTTGCACCGAAAGAGGAAGAAGACAGAAAGCGAAAGCGAAAGCGGGAAACTGAGGCATTTTCAGACCTGAATCCACAAAGGCCAGCAAAGAGTATAAGAAAAAAAGCGTTTTTTTGGCAAAAGTGTTTTTGCAACCTCAGTTTTTCTTCTGAACCTCCATTTTTTTAAGGGGAGGGAAGAGCTGAGCTGGATTCCTTCTTGGGGGAGACTCTCAATTTGGGGAGGAGACCCAGAAGCCCCCACCCCATATTCCCCATTGCTGAATCGGGACCTGGACGGGAGGGGGGAACTGAGGGAGAAGGAAACCTCTGCTTGGACCTTTTCCGTTCCTGGCAAAGGGGCTGCCGGAGGGGGGGGAGGTTTTGTCCCAGGTCGGAATTGGTTGAAGAAGGGCTGTTGTTGGTCTCAAGGGGGGGGGGGTCAGAAGGGGGGGAAGCGAGAATCCTCCCTCCCTCCCTTCCTTCCTTCCTTCCTTCCTCCCTCCCTCCCTCCCTCCCTTCCTTCCTTCCTTGCTCCCTCCCTCCCTTCCTTCCATCGTCCCTCCCTCTCTCCCTCCCTTCCTTTCGCCCTCTCCCCCCACTCCCTCCAAGCGCCGTGGGGTCTTCTGACCCACCGCAAAGAGAAGGTCGGTTTTGGTTCAAGAATGGCTGTTGTGGATCACAAGGGGGGGGGCTTTCATGGCCCCTCCCCGGGAGGGGAACCTCTCGCAGCCTCGCTCTGGGGTGAAGGAGGAGGAGGGGGGGAAACGCTCCGTATCCCAGGGGAACGTTTTTCCCAGCTAGGGGGAGGCGAGAAAGGGCGACCCCCCCACTTTGGAACGATGTGCCCGGGGGAGAGCAGCCTCAGGGCGGCCCCGAAAGCCGGTGGGCTCCCCTGCGTGGGGGGGGGGGCGGGGGTGTCACTGGAGGCCAGGCAGTGTCTTGGGTGGGGAGGGGGAGCTTCCATTGGGATCCCTGCCCAGAATGGAGGGGGGAGGGCGCTGTTTTTGACAAACCCCTGCCGGCTCCTGGTTATAGCTTTCTTTGCTTCTAGTTGTTCGCAGATCTGTTTTTTTGATGATCTTTTCCAGGATCTTCCCAGGTATTGAGGTTAGGCTGATTGGTCTGCAGTTTCCTGGGTCCGTTTTTTCTTTCTTTCTTGAAGATGGAACCACATCAGCCCTTTTCCAATCCTCGGGTTTTTCCCCGGTGCTCCAGGATTTGTGAAAGAAGTCCTGCAACGGCTCTGATATAACATCTGGTATCGCTTGCCTGAAGGGTTTGGGAGTTTGTGTGTGTGTGTGTGTGTGTGTGTGTACCTGTGTCTGCAGTTCTCCCCCCCCCATATGGTCCAGACCTGTGGGGGGCTTCCTGCCCCCAAACTGAGCCGGGCGAGCCCAAGAGGAGCCCTCAAGCTCTGCCTCCACTTTGCTCTAGGCTCCCTCTGGGAACCGAAAGGGCATCTAGTCCACCCCTCCACACACCCAGAGAAAAGGAGGCTCTGGCTGAGAATCACGAGGGGGGGGCGCAAAAGGAAGTCCGCCCTCCCCTCCGGAGCTGGCCTGAAACGCCCCCCTAAAATGCAGCCCCTCCCACCCTGACTGAAGGGATTGTCCCCCCCCCCCAACTTTCTCCGCTTCTCTCTGCGCCGAACTATCTCCTCTATCGGGCGAAGTCAAGGGAGGCTCTGCCCGGAGACCGATGACGCTGCAGAAGGGAAAATTCCCATTGGTCCTTCCGCTTTCCTGGGCCCTCCCAGGTCCGAAGTTCGAGGGAAACGCCCCCTCCCCCCCCCAATCCAGACCCCCCGATTCCGCCTCTGGGGATGGGAGCCTCCGCGTCTCTGTCTCTGGTCTCTCTGGGGCGCTTGTGGGGCGGCGTCCATGGGCTCCGCTGGGCTCCCCCTGATGCTGCTGCTGCTGGCGGGGGCGCTGGCCCGGATCCCCGGAAGCGAAGGGGGGAAGGAGACCCCCGGTAAGGAGGGGGCTCGTCGAGGGAGGAGAGGGGCTGGGAGGGGCCGTCAGAGCCCCTGGGGGTGGGGGAAGAAAGGGGCTGGGACCCCAGAAGTGGGGAAAGGGGTCGAGGGCAAGAGAGACGGGAGACTGCGGGAGCGTCGATCTCCGCGTGGTCTCCGCCCCGGCCTCGCCTCATTTCCCCCCGCAGGACGGAGAGGGAGCCCCCTCCCCTCTTCCCTTGTTGTGGCCGAGGTGGGGCGGGGGTCGCGGGAAGGCAGCCCAGGAGGGATAAGAGGCAGCTGGGCTCCTCTCTCGCCCCCCTCCGTGGCTGGGAGGGAGGGGGACCTCGCGGACCCCGAATTAGCGCCTGAGCCCCAAAGTTTCTTGCACTGAAAGAGGAAGGAGACGGGAAGCGAAAGCGAAAGAGGGAAACTGAGGCATTTTCAGACCTGAATCCACAAAGGCCAGCAAAGAGTATAAGAAAAAGAGATTTTTTTTGGCAAAAGTGTTTTTGCACCCTCAGTTTTTCTTCTGAATGTCCATTTTTTTAAGGGGAGGGAAGAGTTGAGCTGGATTCCTTCTTGGGGAGACGCTGAGGCTCCCATTGGTCCCTCCGCTTTCCTGGGCCCTCCCACGTCCGAAATTCGAGGAAAACGCCCCCTCCCCCCACTCCAGACCCATCTATTCCACCTCTGGGGCTGGGAGCCTCCGTGTCTCTCTCCCCTCTTTGGGGGGGCGCTTGTGGGGCGGCGTCCATGGGCTCCGCTGGGCTCCCCCTGATGCTGCTGCTGCTGGTGGGGGCGCTGGACCGGATCCCCGGAAGCCAAGGGGGGAAGGAGACCCCCGGTAAGGAGGGGGCTCAGAGGGGGGAGGAGAGGGGCTGGAACCCTAGTAGGGGGAAAAGGGGGTGGAGGGCAAGAGAGACGGGAGCCTGCAGGAGCCTCGATCTCCGCGTGGTCTCCGCCCCCTCCCTCAGGAGGACGGAGAGGGGTCTCGGGAAGGGAACCAAGGTGGGTTAAGAGGCAGCTGGGCCCCTCTCTCGCCCCCCCCCCGTGGGTGGGAGGGGGACCTTGCGCACCCCGAATTAGCGCCTGACCCCCAAAGTTTCTTGCACTGAAAGAGGAAGGAGACGGGAAGCGAAAGCGAAAGAGGGAAACTGAGGCATTTTCAGAGTTGAATCCAGAGAAGCCACCAAAAGTATAAGACAAAGAGATTTTTTTTTGGCAAAAGTGTTTTTGCAACCTCAGTTTTTCTTCTGAATCTCCATTTTTTTAAGGGGAGGGGAGAGTTGAGCTGGATTCCTTCTTGGGGAAGACTCTGAATTGGGGAGGAGACCCGGAACCCCCACCCCATATTCCCCCATTGCTGAATCCGGACTTGGAGGGGAGGGGGGAACTGAGGGAGAAGGATATTGGGGGGTCTGCATTGCTCCCCTAAGAGCCCCTCCCTTTGAGACATTCTGGGGGGGCTGCAGGGGGGTCTGTTTCGACGGGGGAGTGGAAAGAGGCGTCGAAAATCATCCAAAAGTTGCTAGTGGGGCTGAAGATGGGGGCGAGGGGGGAAGAGGAAAAGGGAAGATGGGGCTTGAAGGGCGGGGAGAGCCCAGGAGCATGGGTGTGGGTATCCTGATTGTGACCCCCCCCTTCCCTTCTGCTCCCAAAAGGAAGAGGGAGAGAGAAGCTTGGATATTCCTTTCCTTCCAGCGCAGGGGGGGTCTCTCCCCTCCCCCCATATTTCCTGCCAGTTTGGGGGGAAAGAGGCCCCACCGGGATCTAACATTCCTTGCAGACACTTAGACCAAGTGCTGGACCAGCTGAACTTCTGCCTGCCTTTTTCCACCCTGGGGAAGATGGAGGCGGTCCCTCACTAAGCTCCTCCCCTCCCTCATTTTCCTCCCCCCTCCCGACCCCCACCAAGGGGGAATCCCGCTGGGACCGACGGTTCCCCATCCCTCCTCCAGGGGGCGCCTTCCGGTAGCCTCTTGCGGCAGGTTTCCCTCCTCTCCTCTGACAAGCCTGTGTCCCTCCTCGAGGGGAGGCTGGGAACCATGGGCCCTGGAATCCCTCCTGATCCCCTTCCTCCTCCTCCTCCTCCTCCTCCTCCCTGCAGCCCATTTCCTGCACCAGGGGACGTGCGAGTGCCGCTTCCTCTCCTCTCCGCAGCTGGCATGAAACGCCCCCCTAAAATGCAGCCCCCCCCCAGACCGAAGGGATTTCCCCCCCCCTCCAACTTTCTCCGCTTCTCTCTCGGCTTCGCACTATCTCCTCCTGTGGATGAACTCAAGGGAGGCTCTGCCCGGAGACCGATGACGATGCAGAAGGGAGAATTCCCATTGGTCCTTCCGCTTTTATGGGCCCTCCCGATGACGAAGTCCGAGGAAACCGCTTCCTCCCCCCAAGCCAGACCCCCCCCCCCGATTCCGCCTCTGGGGCTGGGAGCCTCCGCGTCTCTCTCCCCGCTCTCTGGGGGCGCTGGTGGGGCGGCGTCCATGGGCTCCGTTGGGGTCCCTCTTCTGTTGCTGGCGGGGGCGCTGGCCCGGATTCCCGGAAGCGAAGGGGGGAAGGAGACGCCCGGTAAGGAGGGGGCTCGGAGAGGGGCTGGGAGGGGCCGTCAGTGCTCCTGAGGGGGGGGGAGAAAGGGGCTGGGACCCCTGAAGTAGGGAAAGAGGTCGAAGGCAAGAGAGACGGGAGACTGCAGTGGCCTCGATCTCCGCGTGGTCTCCCTCCCTCGCCGCATTTTCCCCCGCAGGACGAAGAGGGAGCCCCCGTTCCCTAATTATGGCCGAGGTGGGCGAGGGTCGTTAGAAGGCAGCCGAGATGGGATAAGAGGCAGCCGGACCCCCTCTCCACCTCCCCCCCGTGGCTGGGTGGGAGGGGGACCTTGTGCACCCCGAATTAGCGCCTGAGCCCTAAAGTTTATTGCACCGAAAGAGGAAGAAGACAGAAAGCGAAAGCGAAAGAGGGAAACTGAGGCATTTTCAGACCTGAATCCACAAAGGCCAGCAAAGAGTATAAGAAAAAAAAGGGTTTTTTTTGGCAAAAGTGTTTTTGCAACCTCAGTTTTTCTTCTGAATCTCCATTTTTTTAAGGGGAGGGGAGAGTTGAGCTGGATTCCTTCTTGGGGGAGACTCTGAATTTGGGAAGGAGACCCAGAACCCCCCACCCCATATTCCCCCATTGCTGAATCGGGACTTGGAGGGGAGGGGAAACTGAGGGAGAAGGATACTGGGGGGTCTGAATTGCTCCCCTAAATTCTCTACTCTATCCCTTTAGTGAGGGGGGCTGGAGACCCTCCCTTTGAGATGGTCTTGGGGGCTCCAGGGTGACAGAAAATAGGGCTAAACCCAGAAATCATGCAAAGGCAGCCAGTAGGGGTGAAGTTGATGGGAAAGAAAATTTGGGGGTAATTCGGGAATTTGGGGGTTCTCTTCTCCCCAAGATCCTCAGACCCCCAAGCCATCTAGATCAAAATTGAGCAGCCCCCCCTCAACAGAGTGGGGGGAGGGAAAGGACCCCCCATCTCCTGTCTACAACGGGGTCCTTTCGGCAGCCCCAGGAAGGCTCCCCACCCCTTTGCCCCCCAATTCAGGGGACCCTGAGGGCCCAGATAAACCCCTGGGGGTCCTCAAGGCCCCTCAGAGAACCAGGGATTGGCTTTCAAAATGACCAAATGACCGCAAGGAATATCTGTCCTTCCACCCTCCACCACTCAGTCAGAACTGAAGAAGCTTCTGGGATGAGAAGCGAAACATCTTCAAGGGAAGAACCAGAAAAGTCCAGCTGCCTTTTGGAGAAGCCCCTTTGGGCCAAGTAAGACCAGGGGGAGGGAGGGTCTCTGGAGAGAACCCCCCCGGCTCCCCTCGGCCCTTCTGAAGTCTCCGCTCACCCAGCCTGGACTCCTCATGGGGGGTCTTAAGGGAGCTTAAAGGGGCATCTAGTCCACCCCTCCAGGCAGAAAGAGAAAGGGGGACTGTGGTTCAGATTCATGGGAGGGGGCGAAAAAGGAAGTCCACAACCCCCCCCCCGACAGCCCTCTAAAGCTGCAGCCCCCAAGACTGAAAATCTTCCCCTCCCTCACCTTCTCCGCCTCTATTGGGAGGGATATGGGGGGGGTCTGAGTTGCTCCTCCAGACTCCCCCTTTAGTGAAGGGGGCTGGAGCCCCTCCCTTTGAGGTGGTCTTGGGGGGCTGCAGGGGGGTTTTATTTTGGAAGGGGCACAGGAAAGAAGCTTTGAAAAGCACCCAAAGGCAGCTCGTGGGGCTGAAGATGGGGCAGAGGGGGAGAAAGGGGAGGTGGGGGTTGAAGGGCGGGGAGAGCCCAGGAGCATGGGTGTGGGTATCCTGATTGTGACCCCCCCCCTTCCCTTCTGCTCCCAAAAGGGAGAGAAAGAGAGAAGCTTGGATATTATTTCCCCTCCAGCCCAGAGGGGGGGTCTCTTCCCTCCCCCCATATTTCCTGTCGCTTTGGGGGGGGGAAATCCAGCGTTCCCTGCAGACAGACGGAGGGCTGGACCGGCTGAACTTCTGCCTGCCTTTTTCCTCCCTGGAGAGATGGGGGGGGTCCCTCTTTCCCCCTCCCTCATTTTCCTCCCCCCTCCAGACCCCCACCAAGGGGGAATCCCGCTGGGACCGACAGTTCTCCATCCCTCCTCCAGGGGGCGCCTTCCGGCGGTCCCTCGCGGCAGGTCTCCAGTCGCTCCGCCTTCCCGTCGCTCCGTCCCTCCTCTAGGAGCCGCTGGGGACGATGGGCCCTGGAGTCCCTCCTGAGGGCTTTCTTCTTTCTGCTCCATCCCCTCCCTCCTCCTCCTCCTCCTCCCCCCCGCAGCCCATTTCCTGGCCCAGTGGAAGTCCGAGTGCCGCTTCCTCAACGGGACGCGGCGGGTGCGATACCTGTACAGGAACTTCTACGACCGGGAGGAGTATCTCCGCTTCGACAGCGCCCGCGGGGAGTACGAGGCCGTCACGGCGTTGGGGAAGGCGATTGCGGAGGCTTGGAACAGGGATAAGCACGAGCTGCAGTACCGGAAGACCGGAGTGGATGCCTTCTGCCGACACAACTACGAGGTTTTCCAGAGCGGTTCCGTGATTGGCCGGAGAGGTGAGTGGGGGAGGGGGAGTTCCACGGGGGGGGGAATGCCGGGACCCCCCCCTTTTTTTCCTTTCATTTCTTAGGACTCTCCCGGAGAAAGATTTGCCCCTCTCCAGCTTCCTCCTCCCCTTATCTACTCAGGAGGGAGCGTGTTTAATATTGATTTGTTCTGTATATGGAGGGCTGTGGGTCTGAACATATGTTGCACATAGGATGTTTTTAGGGTGTGTCATGCATGTCTTTCACTTTGAGAGCGGGCAACTCAATTTCGTTTGGGATGTGTGCCATTGTGCCCACCGTAAAAAAATGACAATAAAGGTTATCTTATCTTATGCATTCTCTGCTCTCAGACCTATGAAATTTACTCATTGGTATTTATTGATATTTATTGATACTCCTAAACTGCCCCCCTCAAAGCGGGGATCTGGATGGTGCACGATATAACATCACCCCTAAATAAAAATGTATAACAAATAAGCTTTAAAATTAAATTACAGTTAAAAAGTTTGAAATTCAGCAAGGATGACCATGAAACATGCCAAAGGGAAGAAATAGATTCCTCTCCTTCCCATCCCTCCCATCATCTTCCTTCTCTTCTCACGGTCCAAAGTTTCCCCTCCCCAGAAAAACTTCTTTCCAGAATATTATACCAAATATTATATTTTTCTTTGGGGGGCTGGAATCCAGCAAGATCTCTCTCTTGTCCAGTATATAGATATATTTCAAGATAATCTATATGCTATATAATATTTCAATATAATATTTTATATTAATAAATCAACATTTCTTTATTGATTTACTTATCAACTTTTAAAACCTTCTCTCTCCATCTCCCCCACAGAGGGACTTTGCATGGTGTACACATAAAATATCAAACCACCAAAATATTCTATACAATTTAACATTTAAAAGGCAGGAATGATTAAAATCCAGTGATAAAAATATATGAAAAGGGGGGGGCTTCAGGAGGCTGACCGGCCCCACGGCTGCCTCTTCCCCCTCTTTTCCCCCCAACAAAAGCCCCAGAGCCCCCTTTTCCCCCCTTTCCGGAAGGCCAGGAGTGGGGGAGGGGCTCCCTTCACCTCTGGGGCCTTTGGGATTTTAGGATAAAAAGTGAACTTCCAAAGGTCTGGAAAAGGGAATCAGGGAAGGCTCTTTCGTCTGCTGGGCCCTGTCTCTCTTTTAGTTCTTTTTATCCTTTATTCAGAGTCATTTGTTCATCCAATGTTGGGGGTCTGGGAGAAAAGCCCCCCTTGAAACCCCCTTTTTGGTCAGAGACTCAGCTTCACCTGCAGCCGAATCACTTCCCTCTTCGTATCTGGGAAGGTTCCTCATATGGGGGCAAGGATTAAAAAAACACCACAAACATTAAAACTGAATTTTTTCGTTCAGCCCTGAAGGCTCGGATTGTTTTCCCTGTTCCAGATTCCTGGCAAATTGTTGGTCTAGTTTTATTTGTTTATATTAAAAAACCTTATTTATTTCTATCAGCCGAAAAGGTTTCATAGTGCAAAACAAGTGTTTCATCTGCAGTTGTTGCCATTTCTTGTTGCCAGGGTCTCCCAAAATAACACGCTACCAAAGAATTAAATAAGGTCTTTCTTCCACGAGAGAAAAACCAAAAGATCCCAAGAGAAAAAGGCATTTTACCAGGTGAAGCTGGGCATCTGCTCCTTCCGGAAATTATGGAATGTTTAAGGGGAACCGACACAGATTTTGTTCTCCGCATATTCAGTCTGGAATTCATTTTTACTCCTAAATTCTTCCCTGCAAACCTGGGAGGATAATTAACTGTTCATAAAAAAATCCCAGGATTAAATAACAAATAATCAAACCTTTAAAAATTGCAGGTTCTTAAACATTATATAATGAGCTGTTCATCAGAAAATCCCTCAAGAGAGAGAAACGTTGCTAGCAAAAGTTCTCTGATCTGGAGTGGATCTAAGAAGGACCCTCTTGGGGGGGTCACTCAGCCCCCCCCCCATTAATCCACCCAAGAGTTGTGCCATTTGCTGAAGGAGGAGATCAAGAGGGATCCCTTCCAAGGCTCTTCTGTGATCCTGGAATCTGCCTGATCTCCTCAGCCACCAACTGCCCCCACCTTCCCTTTCCCCAAGATCCCCCCCCAGATCCCCTCCCCCCTCCCTGTCCGGAATGGGACAACTCACTGCAGGACAATTCAACAATTTTGTTCAATTATTTAAAATAATTTTTAAAATGTTTTTTTTTTTAATTTTTGTCTTTCCTATTTCATTTTCCTCCTCCCTCGGCCTCCTTCCTTTCCTGATTCTCTTTCTCCATTTCTTCCATATTGTGTAACTTTTGTGCTGCCTTGACTTGGCTGAGTAGTCCTAGACCCCTCCCTGCCCCCCCCATCCCAGGCAGGAGGGTGGGACCCCTCCCCAGGGAAATGGGGCTGGGAGGGAGGCCGGAAGCTGCAGGGAGAGGTTGGGGGGGACCTGGGCAATAAAAACCAAAGGTTCAAGTACAGATTAGGCAAAATCTGGCTCAAAATCAGGGGGTCCCAATGGGGAGCCTCACACTGGAGGTAGTTGTTGAATTCAGAGGCAATCCCCCCTCCCCCCTCACACCTCCTGTTCCTCCCCATCTTTTAACTATAATTTTATCTTGACTGGGAATTCCATTTTGATTGCTATAGAAATATTTATCTGTTAGGACTTTAATGTTCTAATGCTGTAAGCCAGGGCTTTTCAACCTTTTCACCGACTGTACCACTTTTAGGATATATGGCAATATTCGAGTACCACCTAGCAAGGTGTCAAACACTTGATCACCCCCCCCCCAAAAAAAAGCCCTGTTCAAAGTTGCAATTCCACTGAAATGACTTATGACCATTTTTCACACTTATGACCATTTCAGTGTCCCCAGGGTCATGTGATTTATATTTGGATGCTTGGCAACAGATTCATATTTATGATGGTCACAGTGTCCCAGGGTCATGTGATCCCCTTCTGCAACCTTTTGCCAAGCAAAGCCATTGGCAGGTGGCCAAGTGCTAAGGCGGGACTTCCTTCCCTCCCTCCCTCCCTCCCTCCCTCCCTCCCTCCCTCTTTCTCATTCCCATCTCCTTCTGAAGGAAGAATTTGAACCCCCCCCCATTTCCCTTCTTCCATATATTCATTGAACAAGGAAAAGCCTCCAGAGACAGAAAAGCCATTGAGGGAACTAGCATAAAAAGGCGCATTCCCCTTTAAGAATTAGCTACTGGCTAGAAAGGAAAGTTAAGGAGATCAATCGCCAATTAAGGAAGAAAAAAAATGTAGTAAGTATGGCTGCTGGCTAAGGTAGCCTCCCCAAATGGCTCCATTCTTAAGTAAAAGACTGCTACAGGCAAAATCCATTCAGGAGAAAAATACTTCAAAATCCCTTGCAGCAAAACTTACAGCTAACAATAGCAGAGCAGTAGAAGCTAACATGAGACATCAGCCATCAGCCAAATAGAAATTGCCAAACACTCCTTAAGAACACAAAGCCCCATTGCACAAATCCCAGAACTTCAAAGTCACAAAAGGACAAAAGAATCCTTCCACTCTCCATCTCCCTCCTTGCCTCACCTCTACCCGTGCTGCCTTTCTTCATTGCTGCCTTTCTTCATTGCTGCCTTTCTTCATTCCTCGTGGAGAGCAACCCTCCTCCCTATGTTCCTTGCCTCTTGGTTGCTCCCAGCACAGGTGGCTGCCACAGAAGTTGTAGATCCACTTGTGGCCAGCCTGCTTGATCTCCTCTCCTCTCCCCCCACCCTCCTCCTTCTTTCCATTCTGTGCAGCTAGAGCTGACTCCACCTCCTCCCAAGGCTGCTTGTTTTTCTCTCTCTCCTTCTCCCGACCCAACTGCCTCCTTTTATAGCCTCTCCTGTCTCCGCACCCTCCTCTTCCTTTCTCATGGGGGAGGGGGGTGAGCCAGAAGTGAGCCTGGGACCTTTGCCTCACCCCAGCCACTCTGCAGCTCCAGAGGACTCTCTCATAGTAAGTCCTTCCCTGTGCTGGCCCGTTCCCTCCCCCACTACACTTGACTGGGCAGGGCAGCATACCATCTGTCATGTGCTCATGTACCACAGGTGGTACACATACCACCAGTTGAAAAGCCCTGCTGTAAGCTGCCTAGAGTCATTTTATCATGAGATGGTGGCAAACAAATTTAATAAATAAATAAATGTTCCGGTATTCTACCTATTTTTTAAAAAATGTGGTTTTCTTTTGAATGGGATCCCTGCAATTCTCCAAAACATGCTGTGTGTCTTCCCTGTCTTCTGGGTCTCTTTCCGTCTCCCCCAAATCTGGCAGGAAATTCCTTCCGTTCCGGAGCGTTTCCAGTATTTATTTCTGTTGGACTTGTGCAATTTGATGATGGAAACTGATCCCAACCAGGAACGATTTATGTTTTTCCATCTTTCAGGATCCCATTTAACTTCTTGCTGCAATTTGCTTTGGAAATGACTTAAAACAAATACTATTTTCAGGACTGAAAAGGGCTCTTGGCCTGAATTAACCAACTTGGTCTCCTGTTCTGGTCCCTCCTGTGTCTCCCCCCCATGTCCCTTCTCCTCCTCCCCCTCCTACCCTCCAGCCAAGCCCACCGTCTCCATCTCCCCCACCAAGCTGGACCCCGCTTCCCCCCACACCATCCTCCTCTGCATCGCGAGGGGCTTCTACCCTGTGGAGATTGAGGTCCTGTGGCTGAAGAACGGGCGGCCAGAGGAGGAGGGCGTGGCCTTCGGGGAGGAGCTCCAGAATGGAGACTGGACCTACCAGCTCCAGGTGATGCTGGAGACCCAGCCCCAGCGAGGGGACGTCTACACCTGCCAGGTGGAGCATGCCAGCCTGGAAGCCCCAATCACCGTCCAGTGGGGTGAGCCACTCCCCTCCCCCTCTGGGGACCTCCTCCTGTCCTGAGAAGGGGGGAGAGACCCTCTCTGTCGGGGGAGCTGGGATGGACCCTCCTGGGGGGCGGGGGAGCTGGCCCTGATCTTCCTACTCAGTGAAGCTCCTTCTCCTTCCCCAGAGCCCCGATCCTCCAATTCTGCCAAGAGCAAACTCTGGACGGGGATCGTGGCAGCCGTGATCGGGGTGATCTTCTTTGCCATGGGGCTCTCCCTCTACCTGAAGAGCAAGAAAGGTGAGTCTGGGGAGGCTGGATAAGAGATTGTGGGGAGGGGACCATCCAGGGGAGGCCTCTCAGCAAGCTTAGCAGATGGCAAGGAGGCCCCCCCTGGAAATTTGCTTGGGAAATTCTGTTCTTTGAGGGTCTATTGTATAAGTGAGCATCCTGCAAACTATTATGGGCTATCGATAGGGAGCCCCCCCTGAGTCCTCCATCCCACAAAGGGTCCTGATTGGGTCTTTTTCTCATTCCAGCAATTCCCATCCAGCCTCCTGCAGGTGAGTTTCTCGTCAAGTTATAGATGTTTCTTTAATATTTGTTAATTGTTCCTTTAAAAGAAAAATGTGCCCGAACAAAACCTCCTAGCTGTGGATAACACAAATTTTTGAAATTTTGGGCAGCTTTTCATTACAGAGACCTGAAAAGAGTGCAATGAAAAACAAGCACACACACATAAACACTAAAATCTGGCCCAGGAGATTTCCAGGTTTTGGGTAATTGCAAAAGAGAAGGGAAGTCTCCTTGTGACATTTCACACAATTTCTGGCAAAGCGACACCCAGGTTTTCTACTACTCCCCATCCTGGCCCCATCTTCTTTGTTAATATGAAACGTCTGAGGGGAGGGAGACCTCCTTTCTTGATTAACCCCCCAGCTAAGTCAATTGGGGTAAATTCCATAAGCCTCTGAAAATGAATTGTTGATCCTTTGCATCCTTTTCCTCTCTGAAAAAAAAGGGGGTGGAAACTCCCTCACTTTGTTCTTACCCATCAACCACCCCCCTGCAATGTGGGCCTGTCTGGGGGGGTGGCTGAAAGAGAGGAATAATAAGCTATTTACACTGGTTTCACTTTATTTTCTAATTTTCTCCCCATCTCTTTTTTTCTACAGCACTCATGAATTAATTCTGCCATCCTTCCTGCTTCCTTGTGGGAAAGGAAGGGGCTTTTTTCCATTAGCTGATGAATTTCTGTCTCTTTTTTGCAACCTCTGAAAAATGGAGGGTCAAGATTTTAGATTGGGGGGAGGAGGAGAATGGCAGCCTGGAGCTTTTCCTGCTGAGACCACTCTGGCTTTCTTGTGAGGGAGAGGTGGAGTCCATCTAGACTGACCCCAGGGACTCTGGAACTGCCTGTCAGTCCAGACACCCAAATCTCTCCTGACTTTAAATCCACAGCAGCTTCATCTTCATTACTCTTCGTCCGAATCCCTTCCCTTCGCTTTGCTATAAAAGAATAAACATTGTAGGAAAAATCCTGGAATTCGTCCTTCCTTCCTTTCTTTTCCTCCTCCTCTTTCCTCCCTCTTCCCCGCAGGAGGGTTGTTGCTTCTCCCCTTCCCCTCCCCAGATTGACACCTCCCCTGCCTCTGATCAACCATCCCAACTACTTCAGGTCTGAAGTCAAAACTGGTTTGAGAGGAGGGTGGGCAGATCCAGGGAGGGGAAGGGGCAGGAATCCCCTCCTGCTCAGGGCCCCCTTTCTGTGCTTTACCTCAAGCCTCCCTTTGAGGACCAGGATGCCAGGAGGCATGGTCCCCTTCAACCATTTGTGGGGAGCCATTGGGGGACACCCGTGACTCCCCCTATACTCACCCAGCCATTTCTGCCATTTTTCTCCTTCACAATTGGAGGGTCCTGCCCCATTTTGGCACCCAATGCCTCCCTCCCTCCACCTGAGACCCCAGAGGCCTTTTCCAGGACTGCCAAACTATCGCTACTGCTGCCCCACAGCCTTTCCTGCCTTTGGGTCTGAAGCCCCCTCCCTCTGGGCAGAGAGTCTCCAAAAGAGAGAGTCCTGGGCGAGTCTCGTGTGGCCCCCAACCGGAGCTCATCTGAGACCGCCCCCACAGAAAAGGCCCTGAGTGGTCCTGTGGCCAATGGCCTTGATCTCTGGGAAGGTTGCACTGATGTCCATCTCCCTGGTCTGAGGGCTCCTGGGCAGGGGTTGTTGGGAAGGGTGTCTTCGCCAGGGCCTCTTGGGGCCAGAGCAGAAAGTCCAGCCGAAGCCATTCCTGGTGTAGGAGACATTTGCCATCAGGGGGGAGGGAGAGCAGCTCTGCGGGAGAGAGGAAAGATCAAGGGGGCAACTCTGAGTGGAAGACCCCTCCCTTCTTCCCAGCACCCTTAGATGCCCCTAGATAGCTCTCCCACTGAGCCTTGCCCCCTCCAGAAGCCATCCAGACTGGTTCTGCAGGATTCCCCTGGCATCGATCTCCAAGGGCTGATTTTTTCCCTCCCACTCCTCATCTGGGGCACATAAAGAATAGGTCAGTGGAGGAACTGTCTCAAACACAGACTTGGGCTCCTGTCAGTAATACCCCCCCCCCTTGGAAGAGGGCCTGCAGGCACCTGGAAAAGGGACAACTCCAAATGTACCAATTGCAGAAAGAAAATCAGACCAGACTTCCTTAAGATAAACAAAGACCTGTGTTGGTGTTTGAGGATTTATTGGTCAGAGGAACTGAACCAGCAATTTGTAGAATGGACAGTCAGACTAGCAGTTAGCTGTTTCCCGGGAACAACTATCAAAGATGTGAGTGAGAGGCTTACTAAAAATAATCCACAGATTATTTTATTATTCCTTTCTCCTCTTTCATGTGGGGATGAATGATACACAAAATCCCTGGAAACAATATCAAGAGATTATGAGCAGGTAGGGATCAAAGCCAAAGAGATGGGAGCACAGGTCGTGTTCCCTTCTGTACTCCCAATAAAGGTCAGCATCCAATGAGGATACGCACAGCCTTTGAAGTCAACTCCTGGCTTAGAGGATGGTTCTGTCGAGAGAACTTTGGATTCTTGGACTATGGTCTACAATACCCACATGAGGGACTTCTGGCAGGGGATGAGCTACACTTCACAAGAATTGAGAATGTCGTCTTCAGAAGCTAACTGGCTTGTCCTATCTGAAGAGTCTTAAACTGAAACCAAAGGAGGAGGGAGACGGATTTTTTTAGAAGCTAATTCCAAGCACAAATCTCTGGGCAATCAACCAAATGGAAGGGAAAAAGGAGAACTCGGACACAAAAAGAGGGGATGTGGAAACCAAACACAGGGTCAGTCAAAAGGGACTCAGATGCTTCTACAACAATGCTCAAAGTATGAGGAATAAACCAGGGAGAACTTGAAACCCAAAGGCAGGTATGATGTTGCAATTAGCGAAACTCAGTGGGATGAAACCCACGACTGGAAAGCACAACTAAAAAGATTTAATGTTGAGGAATTGCGCAGGAGCTGTTTAAATGAAGTGGGAGACACTGACACAAACTTGTAGTTTTACATCAATATATATAACATTTATATTGCACAGCAGCTGTCCAAATGACACAAACCTGTAGTGTTACATAAATCTATGTAGCATCTATATTCACAGCAGACAAGATAATCAGGAACACAGGAACATCATGAGATAAACCAATCCGCAGATGGAGCACACAGAAGAAAAGGGCGGGGAAAAAGGAGGAAACGCCCCCTTTACACCCACAGCAACCAATCATTGCGTAGATAACCTCATACAGGAGCCAGCACTCTCCAACCAATCAACTACAACTCTGTGTCCCGGCCCATTGTCCACTTTACTGTTCCATCTACTAAATTTAGTATCTTAACATTTAAAGTGTTGCAAAGAAACAGACTTAATAAAAGGGGGAGTTGCACTATATATAACAAATAACTACAGAAATGCTACAGAACAAAGACAAAAATCTCCTTGAAAGCATTTGGGTTAAAAAAAAGGGGAAACAGAACGACATCACCATTGGTGTGTACTATAAAGCCCCCCAACCCAACAGAGGAAATAGATGAAATTTTTCTTAATCAGTCAGCTAAGGCATGGAGAAAGCAGAGCAAAATAACAATGGGGGACTTTGACCACCCTGACATCAACTGGGAGACAGTTTTTTGCGCCTAGTGGGAGATCCAGCAGGCTCCTGATGAACCTAGCAGACAACTTTGTCCCCCATAAAGTAGAGAAGGGAACTAGGGGGTCAGCCCCACTGGACTCCAATCTCCCTAAGAGTCCTAGGCTGCCTCAACAGAGGGACAGAATCAAGATTACGTGTAGTGTTAATACTACTTTACAAGGCCTCGGTAAGGCCACACTTGGAATATCGCAACCAGTTTTGGTCGCCACGATGTAAAAAACAAGTTGAGACTCTGGAAAGAGAGCAGAGAAGAGCAACAAAGATGATCAGGGGACTGGAGGCTAAAACATACGAAGAACGGTTGCTGGAATTGGGTAAGTCTAGCTTAACGAAGAGAAGGACGAGGGGGGACAGGATAGCAGTCTTCCAATATCTCAGGGCTGCCCCAAAGAAGAGGGAGTCAAGCCATTCCCCAAAGCCCCTGAAGGCAGGACGAGGAGCAGTGGATGGAAGATCTGGATTTAAGGAGCAATTTCCTAACAGTGAGAACAATTAATCAGTGGAACTGCTTGCCTCTGGAAGTTGTGATGGCTTCATCACTGGAGGCTTTGAAGAAGAGACTGGACAGCCATTTGTCTGAAGTGGTATAGGGTCTCTCTCCTGCACGGGCAGGGGGCTGGACTAGAGGACCTCCAAGGTCCCTTCCAGCTGTGTTATTCTGTTACATTTTTGCACAGCAGATTCTGGATGCTTCCCATTTGGGGCGTCTCCCCTGGGCACTGAAATCAAAGGTGGAGAAAGGCCAGGAGACTCCCAACCACTTTAATTCAAAGCCTTTGGGCCAAATCCTTCCTTAGAGACTGATCCATTTGCTCCCTTTCTTTCCCTCCTTTTGCTGCCTAGGAAAAATTGTCTCCTTCTGTTTCCCATAATTTTACATTGTTTGTTTTTTTAATCCAGTGTTCTTGCCATTCTTTGCGCCGGTTTGAAAGCATGCTTTTTAAAATGGGAATTAACTAATTTGATTATTTCACCCATTTTGATTGGTGTGCCAGAAGGAGAATGTATTTTGGAAGATGAAATCAAACACATTATATGAAGGGTAAAGAAGAAGCAGCTCCTTCATTTGAGTCTTGTCTCAGATACGCTATTTTCTCTCTTCCACAAGGGCTTTTCGGATGATCTGGAGAGGAAAGACTCTCCGTCAGCAGGTGAAGAAAATCCCTCACTCAGCAGGGCTGATCACAGAAACTCTGCAAGGCCAGTCCAGGCTAGTCCTGGGCTGAAGCGGTCTGGAAATCCCAGAATCTCTCTCTCTCTCTCTCTCTCTCTCTCTCTCTCTCTCTCTCTCTCTCTCTCTCTCTCTCTCCCTCCCTCCCTCTCTCTCTCTCTCTCTCTCTCTCTCCCTCTCATCTCTTTGTGTCTATCTACATCTCTCCCTCTTTATCTTATCTGTCTGTCTGTCTATCCTCTTTCTCTTATCTCTCTATCATCTATCTCTCATCTCTATCTCTCTATCCCCTTCTCTCTTTCCTTCCGTCCCTCTTTCCCTCTTTCTGCCTGCCACCCCCTCATCTCTCTCATCTCTTTATGTCTATCTACATCTCTCTCTCTATCTTGTCAGTCAGTCTATCTGTCTATATATCTTTTTATCTCTCTTTCTCTGTCTCATCGTTCTCTCTCATCTATCCATCTCTCTCTCTCTATCTCTCTCTATATCGTCTATCATCTATTTATCATCTATCTATCTATCTATCTATCTATCTATCTATCTATCTATCATCTATCTTTATCATCTATCTCTTCATTCTTCTCTATCATCTATCTATCATCTCTATCTATCTCTCTACCACTCTATATTATTTAGCTATCAAATTTATGTAACCACCCATCTCACAACAAGTGACTGGGTTGGATACACAAAGCTAAACACAGGTATGTACATGAAATTATTAAAAAAACATTAAAAACAAAAAATTAAAAAGAAGAAATATTAGGCGAAGAGTCGGGTTGTTGAACAGCCATGAGATGAACTGCTGTGAAGTCATCTCCATCCCCAGCGCTTTAATTGGTGGGGAAAAGACGGGAGATCTCCTTGAACCAGATGGGCTAAAGATCGTTTGTGCCATCAAGTTGGTGTCCACCTTTAACCCCCCCCCCATGGATGGACTTTCTCTGGGGAGACCCTCCCCCCACTCCTCCAGGTCCTCCCTCAGCATCCCCCTCCCCCCATTGCAGCTGAGCCCCTCCCCCTCCCTGCTTCTCCTCCTTTGCCTCTCTTTCCTTCCACTTTTCCCGGCATCAGAGCCCCTTCAACCTCTCACCCCCCCCCGAGAGCCGAGTCTCCCCGTAACGTGTGAAGGAGGAGAATCGAGAATCGGAGCCTTTGGGTCCTTTTGGCCTCCGGGGACGTTTCTCCAGCCCTCCCTGGGTTTCTTCCCTGGGCTGTCCGGGGTCTCCTCGGGGGTCGGGAGGGGCCCCTCCACCGCTTCAAGGGGGGAGGGCAGAGGACCGAGGGGGAGACTCAGCCTTGGGGAGAAGCGGGAGAGTCCCGGAGCTGCCCCGGGGAAGAATCCGGGCTTCTTGCCTGCTGGATCAGGGCCAGTTCCTCGGTTCCGCTTCGGGGGAGCCCAGCGCTCCAGGGCGGGGGCGGGGGGGGGAAGCGGGACTTCAGCACTTCTCCAGCTGTTGGGGGTTGCAGAAACAAACAAAGTTCCTCTGTGTGTTTGTGTGTTTGTGTGTGGGGGGTGTGTGGAGGGCTGGGGTGGCAGGAGGAACTCAGAGAAAACCAAAATCTTCCTGGGGAAACAGGAAAAGAGTCCAGGAGTTCTGCTTTGATCAGGCGAGCGATGGAGCCCCCCCCCCCAGACGCTGCCTGGATCTCGGACCCACTTTGGGCGACTGGCTGGATGGACACAACTGTGGTGCAGCCTCCTTCAGCTGCGGGGGGGGAGACCCGGCTCTGGCCTGCCGAGGGTGATGCTGGGCCAGGGGGGAGTTTGACCCCTCCAGACCCCCCCATCCTTAGGAAGGATTCAGGCCCCCTCTGGACCCCCAAAGCTCTTTGGAGCAGAATCGGGAATGGAGGATCGGCCTGACCCGCCTTTGTGTAACTGACCACAACCCGAATGTCCTAGAAAAAATGGTTTCCATGGATGTAGTGAAACATAAAAAAAAAAGAATGTGTGGTTTTTGGGATAGTTTGGGGGGGGGGAAGGTTTTCGGACATTAATGGTTAAGGCTGTAATCCTATACTTGAGGATAAAGGATTATTGAAGTCCACAGTATTTCTATTAACTGTCCGGGTTATTTTATAAATTATAAATTTATTCTTTGGTTTACTATGCTGTCCATCCATCCCTCCACCCATCCTTCTTAAAATAAAATTGAGATCTTTCACAAGGGAGAAAACCTGCGCGGATCCTCTTATAGATCCAGTCCATGGATATGGATTTTTTCTTCTTCTTCTGGCAAAATATTCCCTCCACTCCCACCCAGAGGAACGGAGCCAACCTCAAGAGGATCGATTCTGGGGAGGGGGTCCCAGGGCTGATTCCTCCCCCCATAAAATCCCCCCCCCCTTCTCCGCTTCTCAGCTTCTCCCTCTGCGCCCAACTCTCTCCTCCATCGGGTGAAGTCAAGGGAGGCTCTGCCCGGAGATTGATGACGCTGCGGAAGGGAGAATTCCGATTGGTCCTCCTGCTTCTTCTGGGCCCTCCCAGTTCCGAAGTTCGAGGGAAACGCCCCCTCCCCCCCATCCAGACCCCCCGATTCCGCCTCTGGGGCTGGGAGCCTCCGCGTCTCCGTCTCCCCTCTCTCTGGGGGCGCTTGTGGGGCGGCGTCCATGGGCTCCGCTGGGCTCCCCCTGATGCTGCTGCTGCTGGCGGGGGCGCTGGCCCGGATCCCCGGAAGCGAAGGGGGGGAGTAGACTCCCGGTAAGGAGGGGGGTGGGCGGGGGGAGGAGGAGGTTTGGGGGGGAGGAGGGGGCTGGGAAGCACCCCCGAGACTCGTGGGGGGAGAGGGGGAAGAAAGCTGCTAGCTCTTCAGAGGGTAAGAGTGACGGGAGCCAGCGACAGCCTCGATCTCTGCGTGGTCTCCTCCCCCTTCCCCCCTAGGAGGGCGGAGAGGGACCCCCTCTTTCCCGATTGCAGCAGAGGTGGGGAGTCGCAGCCGGGCCCCTCTATCGCCCCCCCCCTCCAAAATGGCCGGGTCGAAGTCGGAGCGGCTGCGTGGAAAGAGGAAGGGGAGGGAAAGCGAAAGCTTTATGCCACAAGTTAAATATTTACATCCCCTTATAAATGTAGACATTGCAATAAAAGAGAAGTAGAAAGTGTGTGAATGAAAGTTGAGAGGGGGGAGGAATTGAATAGGTTCAGGCTTGTATGGCTACTGGTTGTGCAGATTATGTTTTCACCTGTGTACGTTGTTAGATCACACCCCTTTATTAGCATAGGTGTAATAGTGTCCACAATAGTATCCCTCACATGTTGGCTGTGTTTGTTTGTCTGCCTCAGGTCCTATGTGACTCACCCTCAGATAATGTGGTTTTATGGTGTAGTCTATTTATTTGTTTAGATGGCATCTAAAATCAATTTCATAACATCTGTTGGTCTGTCTGTTTAAGAAAAAGATTGGGCCAGGAAAGGATCCTCTCTCTCTTGCAGATTTCCTATTGCTACATCTTCATTTCCTGTATCAAGATCCAGGCTGTGCTGATACTAAGCCATTCTTATTCTAAGTTGTATCCAAGGCTATTTCACTTGAGAAAAAATAACCTTAAGAATTTTTTTTCTGCTCCTTTCCGAGATCTTAGTGAATAGCTTCAATCTGATGTTACACTATTTCTGCTGAAGCAACTACATTAGCTGGAAGACATCAGTGGCAAAGTAATCGCAAAGCAATAAATAAATAAACCGAAACGGAAGAATGAGTGTGTGAAATTATAGCATAATATGTGGTTGAAGAGCAGGCAACACCTCCCTCCCTCCCCCCTCCCTCTCCCTCCCTCCCCCTCCCCCCTCCCTCCTCCCCCCTCTCTCTCCCTCCCTCCTTCCCTCCCTCTCTCCCTCCCTTCCTCTCTCTCTCTCTCTCCACAAATGTTTTAGACTTTGATGGATAGTAATTTGATTTATATAAAGAAAGATACAGCGATAGCAGGCGGCAATCTCAGGTCATTGGCCATGTCTTGAAGATATCCATGGTCGTAGATGGAGATGGCATTATTTTCCAATTTCGCTATACAAATGAGAAAAAAATAATAAGTTGATCAAAGTGAGTTTAAAGTAAATTCTTTCCTTTGCAAAGCTTTGTGAATGCAAACAATATCAGGCAGAGAATCTCATTATGTACTCTATCTGTAGTATCTCTATTAGAGGAGAGTTTTCTTACACTTTACAACACCTCAGTGGCTTACAGTCCAGCTGCCCAAGGTTAGTTCCAGGAGGACAACTGAAACGGCAGGATCCTTGTAGATTAAAACACTGTATTTGGGCATTCCCTATGAAAAGAAAAAGAGGAGACAGATAAACGATGAGTAAAGATTCCTTAATATTTAAATATATTTTCCCTTCCAAGACACTACCTTCTTCTACAGAACTGCAGGATTCCTTTATCAATTTATATTTTTATTCATTTAGAACATAAAAATATCAAAATAAAAAGCAAATAGTAAGGAACAACCACAGGGAAAGAGGAAAGGGGAAATGTGGAAAGAGGGGGGGGGGGAGAAACAAAAGGCGTTGACTTCCGATTCCCTGTTGCAGTAAAATCAGGCATGAAAATCGAATCTCAACTTTTTGCATTTCTGTATTAGTATGAACTAGCCATTTCTCTATCAACAAATCAGTCTAATCAGTAAACCCCAAAATCATCGTATCATTTCTTTCCACCTCAAGCACAAAGTCCAGAAGCAGTTTCCAAGTAGAAACAATAGTACTTATATTCTTTTCTTTTATCAAACTGTCAGTTTAGCCAAATTCACTCAGTCAGCTTTCAGGCCCAAGGTGGGACTAGAACTCACGATCCAGAGTTGTCGTGTTTTGCTCTAATCACTAGACCAAACTGTTTCTCCATTGTGCCTCCTTATTCAAACAAAACATATTTGGCCGAGAATTGGGTAAACCAATACTAAAGTGAAGCGTATCAAAAAAAATAAGCTACAATAACAAAACCCCCAATAAAGTTATTTCAAGAATTGTGAATCAAAAGAAAAATCAATGGCATATTTATCTTTATCAAGATTCAAGCTGTGCTTATATTAAGTCATCAGACAAAGTCATTCTAAGTTGTATTTAAATGGTATTCAAAATGGTATTTAACTTGAGAAAAAATAATTTTAAGAATTTTTTTTATGCTTCTTTCCAAGATCTTAGTGAAAAGCTTAAATCAGATTTTATACTATATCTGCCCATGCAACTACATTAGCTGGAAGACATCAGTGCCAAAGTAATTACTACAATAAATAAATAAACCAAAAGGGAAGAATGAGACTGTGTGAAATTATAGAATTATAGCACAAATTATAGCAAATTGTAGCACAAATTATAGCAAATTATAGCACAAAGTTCAGAAGCAGTATCCAAGTACAAACAAAAGTACTTATATTCTTTTCTTTTATCAAAACTGTCAGTTTAGCCATCTCTGCTAACTCCATCAGCTTTTGTAACCGTTCATCCAAGATGGGAATGTTAACATCCTTCCAAGAATTGCAGGATTCCTAGGACTACAGCAAGTTTTCTCTGACCACACAGATCCATCTCTGCTGATCTCCTGCAGCAGCTCAAATAAATCAGCCATTAACCCAGGTTTGAAGTCTGACTCAAAGATGAATTAGCTGGTAAGCCTACATCTATTTCATATGAAGGATAGACCTTGCTGTGATATATTTCTCTCCAGTATTGCCATGGATCCTTGCTGAGTTACAGTGGCCAGTTGCATTGTGTGTTTTGGATGAAGACCTTGAGTGAGCTGAGAATTTGGTAAACCAATGTTAAAGTGAAGCAAATCAACAAAAATAAGCTACAATAACAAAAACCCCAATAAAGTTCTTTCAAGAATTGTGAATCAAAAGAAAAATCAATGGCCTATTTTTCAAATCTTTGGAGGCTCATGTTGTCAATAGTCTATACTGTTCAAAGCTATTTCTGTAAAGTAAAACAAAAAGATGTTGAAATTATCCTGCTTTCAGTGAAGATCGTATTTGTTTAAAAAGGAGTGAGTTACCAATCCTTTGTAAATTATCAGTAATTTTATTTCTTACCTGGTTCAGACAGGAATGCAAGGAAAAGAAATGCGGACAGCAGATAAAGGATCTTCATGCTGAGACTGGTTCTGGACCAAATCTTGCTCCTGGGACAGACTTGGCTCTCTATTTATGGAGTTGTAATGATTGCATCATATCACCTCAGTGCACTGTTGCAAAATAGTTCTTACCTAAGGCAACGGTGCATCTTCCTTGTATTGAAACACTCCTGTTTGTTAGCTGTTACAAAAGCCCTGAGAAGAGCAGCAGACTTAGTTGAACATCTAACCTGTTATGGCTATAAAAGATGGGAGGCTCAGGACTTGCAGTGTCCGAATGGGTCAAAGAAAATTCCTTACTGAATTGCTGCCCAAACTCTACAGTCCAAGATGATAATGCTCGGCCATGTTCACCAATGGATGGACTTTGGGAAGAGCCCTTAGAACTAAGTGGTGGAAATCTGGGGTTGGCATTGCTATCATGGGCGACACATTTTTATGGGTGGGTTTTGGGAAAACAGCTGCTCTGCTTCCTGGTGGGTCTTTGTGGCACTCAGATGAAGCACAGACTGATTTGGCTTTCCTTGAAGTATTCCTCCCTCATCCAGGTGATTTCTATTTCTCTAAAGACAGAGAATATGCAGAGTTGGAAATATCCCTGCAGTCTTAGTTGAGGGTTAATAATAATAATAATGATAAAGTTGGAAGGGACCTTGGAGGTCATCTAGTCCAAACCCTGCTCAGATAGGAAACCCTATACCATTTCGGACAAATGGCTGTCCAGTTTCTTCAAAAACTTCCAGTGTTGGTGCATTCACTGCTTCTGAAGGCAGGTTGTTTCACTGTCAGAAAGTTTCTCCTTAGTTCTAGGTTGCTTCTCTCCTTGATTAGTTTCCACCTGTTGCTTCTTGTCCTGCCTTCAGGCGCTTTGGAAAATAGCTTGACTCCCTCTTCTTTGGGGCAGCCCCTGAGATACTGGAACACTGCTATCACGTCCCCCCTCATCCTTCTCTTCGTTAAACTAGACATCCCCAATTGCAGCAATCGTTCCTTATATGTTTTAGCCTCCAGTCCCCTAAGCATCTTTGTTGCTCTTCTCTGCACTCTTTCTACAATCTCAACATCTTTTTTACATTGTGGTGACGAAAACTGGAGGCAGAATTCCAAGTGTGGCCTTACCACTCCTTATTAGGAGTCCTGTGGGACACAGAAGATCAACTGAAATTGAGAAGGAGAGCTGGGTTCCAAAAGCTGTGAGTGTTGGTTACATTGAATGTTTCCTGCTGCTTCTGTTACAAAGGATCTCATGGGGGGGGGCATATTTTTTTATTACTTATCTCTGCATTTCAGTGGTGAGAACAATATGGCTTTACACTTAGGCAAGAAAAAATGAATGCACAGGTATAGAATAGGTGATATGTGGCTCCATAGCAGTAACTGTGAGAGTTTGGCTCCAGAGGTTTTGGGTGCTCCATCACTGGAGGTTTTTAAGAATAATTTGGAAAGCCATTTGTCTGGAATGGTGTAGGGCTTTCCAGCTTCAGCATGGGATTGGACTAGCAGGATCCTGCCAACTCGGTTATTCTGTAAGTTCTGTTGGTTCTCAGGTGTCGCATCCAGTTGCCATGGATGTTGTAGAGATTTAGAGAGGATTTCAAAGTGAAGCACAAGCATTTTCCCATGCCCTGAATAACACAGTAACTTAAAATCTGTTTTCACAAAACAAAATACTTAGTTACAAATAAAATCATCCTAGTTTCACAAACTAAATATGATTTTTCAACATTTGCCTATTTTTCATCATCTTTTTCTCTTCTCTCTTTTTTTCTTCTCCCAATCTGTGATACAATTGCTCTGAGAAAGGATCCTTACAGTGAAGGATGAGAAGAATAGAAAAAAAACCCACTGAAAGATTTAACAATTTCTGTGTTAGATGCAGAAATGTAATACAGAAAATGTTAAGTAATCAAGATTCAAAGAATTGTTGCAGTGAAAAAGCATATTTGGAGGGTCTCTCATGGAGTCAATATTGAGCCTGGTTGTTGGTGAGCAATGGGTTGAAAGTTCCTGGCAATGAGTGGAAAAGGTGGTTATTGAGCCACATCTCCTAAGCTTTGCCTTGAGGGCTGGAGCCAATTTCTGTGGACTCCCATCAAATAGCCTTGATACAGGACCTGATAGAAGATGAACATGCAAAATTAGAAATCAATTAATCACAGGTGCACTAAAGAGTAGGAGACCACTGAGACTGAAAATGGCAAAATTGGCAGCCCTAAAAAGAAAGGAAATTAATATTTAATAATGTGGTTCTTTGCCCAATAACCACAGAAAGCAGTTAATGAGGAAATTGTGGAAGCTGCATCAATAAAAGTGCCTTGAAACCTTGAAATAAGGTCAAACTCCTGCTATTTCCCAAGAAACGGACAATTACTTTGTGTAATGAGTGGGTGCAGCAACGGTAATGAGGAAAGCACAGATGCAAACTGACTTGGTGTTTAGTAATCAAGTTAAGTAAGGTAGAGAATAATAAAATAAGTGGAGACTATGACTTAAATTTAGGTTTAAAAATAATTGAGGAACACTCCATGGTCCCTTCCATCCCATTTTTGTTCATTTGCTTGAGAGTGTGTTTGGGGCTCAATGGAGCCATGAGAAGTAGGATTGATATGTACCAAAACTGAAGAAAAAGGTGATGCCAATATGACATTTGGGTTGCATGTGCTGTTAAGAGGACCTGGATCCTATTTTCATAATAATTATCTCATTTTAGATGAGTCAAAGTCAAAAGTGATGATCTTTGGGAAAGGACAGCATTGCCCTATAGGGCTAATCAATGAGGAGGCAACAGAGCAAGTTCACACCTTTCCTTACCTGGGGGAATTTTCTCTGGGACTGGATCTGGGCTCCCTCAACATCAAAGGAGCTCACTTAGAAGGCACAAGTGAATGCACTGTTAATTTTTTTTTTTAAAAAAAATCATAGGTATGCAGCTTCCTTAGACTGAATTATTAAATACAAAATATCACTGTTACTATTATGCACTTATATTGAGCTGAACTTTGGGCTTTAATTTATATCACTATTAGAACAAATTAGATCACATATCTGAGAAGTATCTTGAGGGTGGATGAAAGGACTTCAACTGCTGCCCTCAGAGCAGAATTGGGAATTTATACAATTTATAAAATTGGGGTATATAATTATTTTTATTAAAATTAATGGTATGGAAAATAATAATACTAGTAATAATAGTGATGGTGATGATGATGATATTGGAAGGGACCTTGGAGGTCATCTAGTCCAACCCCCTGCTCAGGCAGGAAACCCTATACCATTTCAGACAAATGGCTGTTAATTAGTTAGTTAGTTTCCATTCGTTGCTTCTCATCTTGCCTTCAGGTCCTTTGGAGAAGAGCTTGACTCCCTCTTCTTTGGGGCAGCCCCTGAGATTTTGGAACACTGTTATCATGTCACCCCTCGTCCTTCTCTTCGTTAAACTAATAAGAGTGCCCAAATGCTATTAGAACAAACAAATTTCATTTAAAACATTCTTGATTTTATATTGGGAACTGTCATCTGCCTGTCTTTTTTGCCACTCGAGAAAAACCTAAAAAATGCTGCACAAAGAATCCAAGATGGTTAAAATAGAGAAAAGTAGGGCGTCTTCAGTAAGGCTGGCACACTGAAAGGCATCAGCTGCTACAAATGTACCTTCCAAGTATTGAGTTGAATCTTCCAAACTCCTTACAATGAATTAACCACAGCTGCTCTAAAGAGTAGGAGACCAGTGAGACTGAAAATGGCAAAATTGGCAGCCCTAAAAAGAAAGGAAATTCATATTTAATAATGTGGTTCTTTGCCCAAGAACCACAGAAAGCAGTTAATGAGGAAATCAGTGAGTGGGTGCAGCAACGGAAATGAGGAAAGCACAGATGCAAACTGACTTGGTGTTTAGTAATCAAGTTAAATGAGGTAAAGAATAAAAAAATAAGTGGGGACTATGACTTAAATTTAGGCTTGAAAATAATTGAGGAACCCTGTTTGAAAAGAATCTGCCTAAATTTCTGTGTGAAGAAGTTGATACTATTTAGCAGTTGTTAGAAGGACATTTGAATTGACCAGGGCTTTTATTTATTGTACTTATGGCATTTTGTTGTCTGGGACGAAGAGTTAGGCTTGAGAGAAGGAACATTTTAGTTCCAGTTATCTCAGTGAACTTGCCGCATGGAAAGTGAAGCAAAGCTTCATGAGGACTTTTCACGTATCCTGCTTCCACCCTGTAATCCCTCAGAGGTATTTTTAAATCAACCAAGCTCATCTCTTCTGAAATACTGAAAGGAATTTGTGGTGCTTCTCTCTGAGAAGAAGGCAGTTTGATAAGTCTCATGCTTCTCCTCCAAATCCCTCACAAAGCTGTTTGAATTTGATCCCTGATTATTCACACTGTAATGCAGAGAATACGAGGAGAACACCATAACGTGTTCAAACGTGGCCCAGAGGAAGCTGCATTTGTTTGGTTTTTTAAAATGGGTTTTATGAAAAACTATGGGACAGCAAGTTGATTACCCAAAACCTTTAAAAAAGGACATAAAATGAAATCCAATCCAATCCTAGCCCAGCCCAGCCCAGCCCAGCCCGCAACCCTTAGCATTCTTTCAGATTAAAAATCCTGTGTCTTCTGAAGGTGAAATGATGGCATGTCAACTTCTTTAGCTTTACTCCTGACTGACTAGAGCAGTGATTCTCAACCTTTCTAATGCCGTGACCCCATAATACAGTTCCCCATGTTGTGGTGATCCCCAGGTGGGTGTGGCCACCAATAAGAGGGAGTAGGACAGCTAGGGAAAAGGGAAAAAAATGGCGGACAGCATGGTTTGGTGACCCCCGTGAAATGGTCATTCGACCCCAAATGGGGTCCCGACCCACAGGTTGAGAACCACTGGACTAGAGATGCTACGTAGAGTTGACTTTGATTAGTACTTGGATGGTGGACTGGACCTTGAGGTACACACAGGTACACTTGGCCCCTGCAAAGTATTGCTGTATATAATGAAAAACTGTTTGGATGTGTCTTTCTATAAAAAACTTTTTTTCCATTGTTTAATGGAATATCAGTATTGTCTCAAATAAAATAATAAAAATCCATGCAAAACCAACCTAGCCGACAACTTTGTCATCCAAAAGATTGGCTTACTGAAGTACTGAAGCATCACTTTGGTGGAAAACAATCAGAAATAAAAAGGAACAATTTAGAGAGAAATGTTACTTAGATTTGGTCATTGGCTTGTAAGAGTGCACTTCATCTGAAAATCCCTTGAATGCAATTGTTTATCTTCATTGTTAGCTGCCTTAGGACACACTGCGAGGCTACAGATCAAACTAATAATAAATATGAGTGTGTATTTCCCTGTCAGATTGTGTCACCTAATTGTATTCTCTCAACAGAAAGGACCTTGTGTTGGATACCGTATGTTGAATATTCCTTTCACACATAAGGCTCACACTCATGACCCATGTGGTGCATCAAGTAATCCATGACTCACCCTTTTTGAGGGACACGTTCTCATGACCTCACCTCCATCTCACCTCACTATAGTTTTAGAAACTAGTCAGTCAGTTTTAGTTTTAGTTCACCAGCATGGCAGCCATATAAACCGAACATATATATATATACAAATAAAGTTCATCTTTAGGGTTGACAGCCCTTATTTGTAAAGAAATTTTCCTTTTTTTATCTTAACTGGGAGATAATTTTGGACCATGTTCAAAGGGAAGCAGCTTTGCAAAGTTTTATGCACTTGAGAAGAAATCTTTCCAGATTCTGCTGGTCAGAAGAGCTTTTCTTGATCATGGTTTTATTCTATTTCAATAAATCTAATGGAATAAAAAATGAATCTTTTATGATAAACGTCACTTCAAAATTAGTATGTTTGGATATTATATTTTAAAATCAAGCATGTATGAAGACTGGAGGAATGCATGCTAATTCCACTATGAGGAGGAACCCACCCGTTGTCAGTTAATGCTTAAATCTTTTCTCAATTTCATCCCTCAGACTTTGTTAAGTAGAAAGGTTTTTTTTTTTTTTGTAATCTGATATGTCAGAAGAAAAAGAGAGGGACTGAAAGAGGCATCTGCCTGCAATTGTCTCTCCTGCAACCATTTGGAAGTGGTCAGAGATTTCATATTTGCCTACTTGAAACCCAGAGATGACTTGGCTGATGTTCATGTCTACCTCCATCTTTACATGGATGGTCATTCCTGACATATTTTCTGTGGCATTTCTCCTTTTTCTGTTTAGTCTCTGCCTCAGTCTAAATGTGTGGGAAAATGCCATCCTGTATTTGTCAAACAGGCTCGAGAAGGAGAGCCAGTTTGCTGCTACGACTGCATTCCTTGTCCAGAGGGGACCATCTCCACTCAGGAAGGTGGGTGACACCACAAGGAAACTTTGTTCAATATGCCTCTTAAAGACACATGTAAATTTGATTGTTTAGTTCTCAATTTTAATGGTGTCCAATTTCTTCCCTAAATGGGATTTATAAGAAAAATATCTTGAAGGATATGGTAAGAAAAAGGATATTGTGGATTGCATGGAAAATCTCTCTTTCATTTCCCAGTTCGGATGTTTCTGTCCATATTTATCTTTCTTAGAAATATGTGTATTCTTTGTAACTTGAGGAATAATTTTTGATCAATGGGTTTTGTTTACCTAAACCCAGTGCTTTTTTCCCCCCCAAAAGAGGTGCCAGAACTCATACACATCATACAACCCGCCTTTCCTACCCTACAAGATTCCATCCCAAAAAGTTGCCGGAACTCCATTCTGGGCTCTCTATGAGAAAAAAAGCCCTGCCTAAACCGACTTTACATTACAAACTGATAGATGCATCGATCAATTATTCATTTAATCAGTTAATCTTTAGTAAGATCATTTATCCTTATAAGCTGAGATATCTAATTGGGAGGAACAATAGAGGGAGAGATGTTGGGTTAAAGGAACAATGAAAACCAAACAGAGAATTCAGCATAAAATCATCAAGTAGATATTTCCTTTCCACCTTTTCTTATCTTTCCAATTTTCTTTCTTGTTAAATACTGTAGTAAGATATAACACCCCCCCTCCTCCAAAAAAGCAATATAGTTGTGCTCCTGAAAGGAAAAAAATTCTACATGCAGTGTTGGGATTAAAATGAACAGAAAGAAGGAGGAAACAGAGAACTAATTTATTTATTTATTTATTTACAAATATTTATATGCCGCCCAATCCCAAAGGACTCAGGGCGGCGTACAAAATTAAAAACAGTCATAAAACAATAACATAAAATAATCCAGTCATACCGCGAGTCCGATCATATCCCGGCCCGCCGAGGACATCAGCCCCAGGCCTGCCGGAACAGGAGATTTTTAACGGCTTTCTTAAAGGCCGTTAAAGACCAATCTACTAAATGTCCTTTGATACCAATGTTGAATTCATTCTCTTTAAAAATTTGCCAAATCGAGAGAATATGGAAACATATTGCTTCACCTTCTCATTTTTACAGGGTAAAAATACAAATAACACACTCAGTTCCTGTTGTTGAATTTATTTATGAATTAATCTTCGTTGAGATGTTTTTTCAAATTTATTTATCAGGTATATATGGCTATTTCACACAAAGTGACTCTTGGTGGGATACAATTAAACCAATAATAAAAATTAAAACATTGAGGTATAAATGCTAAGAAAGCAAGAGAGGAATACATCAAGATGCTACCTACCATGAAACCAGCACACGGGGCCCTGTTACCAGGAGATCCCCAGGACCATTGAAAGAATCACATTTTAAGGAATTTCTAGAAGGCCTAATAGTTAGGAGACGCTCTCAATTTCAGGATAGTCAATGGTGTTTTTGTGAAGGGGACTATACAACCTGTCCTGAAATAGTCAGTGTTGCAACCCTTCTCAAGTGGTTCTTCATGGATCCAACCATGTTAGACAAATTTATCCTCTGTCCAGTATTTTTGGAGCAGTATATTGAGAGCATGGTTGATGGGTCACTCATCAGTAACTGAGTTTAAACCTTTTTGGGATAAACATATGTCCATCATCTGAATTTTTTTTGAAAAAAATGAATTGAAATATTAAATAAGTAAGAAAACAAAAAACTCAAAGGGCAGACTCGATGCAGCACTAGGTCTTTTTCTGCCATCAGTTTTCTGTTTCTATCTTTTTATCCCATACTCATAGGGTTGCTCTTGAAAACCAGCTGGAATTTATAAAATGGTCCAGAATGCAAAGGCGTGCACAGTGTTGAGTTTCCATGTGTTCTTCCCTAGAACATCCCTGCTGTGCAATCTCCACAGAATCCAAGTTTCTTTCCAGGTGCAATTAAATTCACCTTTCAAACCCTCCATGAGACAGAACCAGGGTATCTGCAGGGTTTCCTCTGCTTGAGGATACCTGCTTGTCCCACCAGAGCAGATATAATTGGCATGCAAACAATCCATTCCCTAAAAGATTCCCACTTTATGGATCATCAGAAGCCTGCCTTTTCTGCTGCAGTTCCTGCCCTACTGGACTTACTCCCCCTTGAAATTGAATAAGTCCCCCATCCTCTTAAACGTCTGGAGACTTGTTACTTCTGCCAACCATTTGGGATAAGGTAAGTACAGTGCAGGATAAGAATCTGGTGGATTACCTCAGAGAAGGGAGTTTGCAGCACCAGATAGCTCTTTTAATTTTATGTTGTTGTTGTTGTTCTTTTTATAGTTGTATGTATTGCGGATTTTTGTTGTTGTTGTAGTATAAGTATATCCCATTTACTGAGACTTTTCTGTCTCTCTGTATCACATCTTATCCAACGTTCTTCTTGAAATTTGAAAGATTATAAAAGAAATATTACTTTCTTTTCTCAGATACCAAAAAATGCACCAAATGCCCAGATGATCAATATCCAATTGAGAACCGAGTCCAGTGTATCCCCAAAAGAATTAACTTCCTGTCTTATGAAGAACATCTCAGCATCATCCTCATCTCCTTTGCTCTACTCTTGTTCCTAATCACAGGCTTTGTTTTAATCGTATTCATTAAATACCTTGAAACTCCTATTGTCAAAGCAAACAACTGGGACCTCTCCTACATCCTCCTGGTCTCCCTTCTGCTTTGTTTCTTATCCTCCTTGTTCTTCATTGGCCAACCAAGGAAAGCCACCTGCCTTCTCCGACAAACAGTGTTCAGCATTGTCTTCTCAGTAGCCGTGCCGTCTGTGTTGGCCAAAACTATCACAGTAGTGCTGGCATTCCTAGTTCAAAACCAGGCAATAAAGTGAAGAGATGGTTGGGGAAGAGCTTGGCCAACTCCATCATCATTTCTTGTTCTGCTGTCCAAATTCTCATCTGTGCCCCGTGGTTGGGAGTTTCTTCCCCATTTCCTGACTCTGATCTCTACTCCCAGTCTGAAGAGATTATCCTTCAATGCAACAAAGGCTCTGTCACCATGTTTTATGTTGTCCTTGGCTACATGGGCTTCCTTGCTGCAATTTGCTTCACTGTGGCTTTCCTGGCCAGGAACCTGCCTGGAGCTTTCAATGAAGCCAAGCTGATCACCTTCAGCATGCTGGTCTTCTGCAGTGTCTGGGTCTCCTTCCTCCCCACCTACTTGAGCACTAAAGGAAAATACATGGTGGCCGTGCAGACCTTCTCCATCTTGGCTTCCAGTGCTGGACTGTTGGGCTGCATCTTCTTCCCAAGTGCTACATTATCATCCTGAGACCAGATCTAAACACTAAGGAAGATCTAATGGCAAAAGCAGGGGAATAATTGTGAAATTGTTTCTTAGGTTGGTAACTTCTAATTATCCATTATTATTGGTTATATATTCTTCCTTTGGATTTGCTTGACAACTTATGTTTATTAAAACTGAAGGAAATAAATATGTGAAGTTTGTTAGTTAGATGAAGATTCAAGATAATCATCAAATACACTAATAATGAATAAATAAGTAAACAAAAAAATGAATAAATATTATGTTTTTTAAACTATTGGTTTTCTTCCTTTTCCTCAGCACACATGTCAACCAATATTTAGCTTACGCAACTCTTCAAGACAAGAGCTATATGAGTCATTTCCTGGGCTTTATAGTGGTGTAAGGGCTGTTGGTACCGGAGGTGAGTAAGACATCCTCCGAAAATAAGACCTGATGCATCTTTTGGAGGCAAAAAAAAAGATCCAGTCTTATTTTCAGGGAAACACAGTATTTGAGAAAGTTCCTCTGGTACATGCTAATAAATACTGTAGTAAGAGTTTGTTACTTTCTTTGGGTCCTACATCTGATTCCACAAGAAGTAGGATACTGCACTTTGGAAGGAATTTTCCCTCCTTTAAGAAGAAAGATTTGTTTCCACTGTCCACTGGCAGAGATGACACTCTAACCATAGGTAGTGAGGATTTTCCCTTCAATCCTCTTCTAATTCCCCAGAGGGAGGAAGGGAGCAAGGAGAGCAAATTGGCTAGGAGTTGCTCACCCATAACTGGGTCTCTTCAGAACTGAAGCAGCTCAGAGGCAGTGAAGATTTAATTCTGAGGACACCTTTTCCACTATTATATAATACTAGAAGGGAATCAAGAGGTGGGGTTTTTTTTTAAAAAAAGTATTCCTCTGATAATCAGCAGAGGTCACATACCAACCACAGGTCCTTAATTTTTTTCCCCACAGAAACTGGCAACAATGGATAGGCTAGGTGGGGCTAGGGCAGTCACACAACTTAGAAGTGGCAAAGATACCTGTATGCCAATCCTGTCAGAAAGGCAGAGGCTATAAAGATGTCTGCTAAAGAAGATTCCTCACCAGAAGGAGGAAAGTCTGCTCAGCACCTCAGCCCAGAGAAGTTGGAAAGGGAGGCTAAGAGACAAGAAGCCAAGAAAAGGATAAAAATTGTTCTGGAGCTTTAAAAAATGGAGATTGCTGAGAAAGAGCCCATCAGGAGAAAAATGAAAGAAGCACCAAATCCAATTAGAGTGGTTGAAATTGAAACACTACATCTTCTACACTATTTGTCCATTTTTCATAGGTAAAAAACAGTAATTCTCCATATCAGCTTTAGCATGGTTTTAGATGCCATGCATGCATCCACATGCTGGTTTCACATAAAAGATTTTTTACCCCTAGCACGTAACAGGATGTCCTGCAATAACTTTTTAACTCCTCCCACTGTCTAGATGAACTATAGAATTAACTAACAGCAAAAACTATATTACTCATAAGCCATCTCTTAAGGAAACAGCATTTAACTGTTTAAATGCTAAATGTTCTAACATACAGTTCTCTCAATGATACAACATTAACCCTGTAAATGCTAAACATTCTAATACAGTTCTTAAGCTAACTGACTAGTACAGCACACTCCCCGCTTGGAAATATAAATGTCCACTACTAACTAACTAGAATAAGCAAAAAACATAGCATCAAAGCATGGTCTTTCCCAAAGGCATCTGCAGCTGAGTACCGAGCTAAGGATTCAATCCATAGCTCAGTTCTCGGCTGCAGTGGCTCTCTGGAAAGGCCTGTGAATGAAAAATGCAGGCCTGGCTGCAGAAGATGCTGCAGAAGAAGTGGGCTGGCAAGGAGAAGCCTGGCTGCAATATAAATGAACATCCCCAACCCCTCCCTAGCTTGATTTTTAGGTGTGTGCCTCACCCCAAAACAAGGGCTTATTTTCGGTGTAGGCCTTACTTTTGGGGAAACACGGTAATATTGAGAGACAGGCCCACACATAATAAATAGATGCACACATATTTATGTATCTCAAAATGTCAGGAGAGACTAAGTAACAAATGATGTAAGTGTACATATTCACAGGTAAAGGATGTCAAGGAATTTTCAGTGAGTTTAAAGCAACACAAACCTGAAAACTCCTCACAGCCATGGGCCGTGTTGAATAGCATAAAGTCCATGGCCAGGATGTTCTGCAAAATTGCCGTTCTTTGCTGTTCCTGATCCTCATTCAGGAGAGGAGTAGCGTTTGAAGTTTGGCTTATACTTGTTACTACTAAACAAGCCAGTTTTCTAATATTGAGGTAGACATGGGCTGCTAGGGCTGTTTAGCCAATTATAGAGCTAGCAAGCCCATAAACCTTTTCTCTGTTTGATTGCCCTATATGGTCCTCCCAACTATTGTCAAGTGGGGAGCCCCCAATGAGGTTTATGTTCCTGCACGCTTGTCTGGGCTTGTGACTATGGTTTGAACCTACATTAGGCCAATATCCTCCCGGCCATGGGATACCACGTGAACAAGGAATCCAGGACTTTGAGTAACTGGAATCTGCTCAGATTCACATTACTGTCCCCCCATACAACACTCACAAACTTCCAGTGACTGAGAGGACTCTGCTGGCTCTCTGGCATGTCATCCCCATTGCTTGATGCATGGGTGAGGTTGTCCCTCCACCTGCCCCAGCCTCCCCCAGGCCGAAAGCTTCCCTTCTTCAGATTCTCTAAGATCTGGTCTCCCCAGCCCTGCCTGTCGTCTGCTTGTGAGAAGGAGGACAAGGAGGCGGCTTCAGTTGTTCCAACTGCCAAAAAGCGGCAATTCTTTTTCTGATTGAAACAGGCAGGCATAGAGACACAGAACTTTGGAGAGAACTTGGGTAATCTCAGCCTTTACCCAGATTTATTTTGCGGTTTGTCTAAAGACATTTAAACAAGACATGGGAAACTTTGCATATGCCTGGGTGTCATCAGCACACAGCAACAAGTCATCGACCCATGGAATCACCCCTCCCTCTCAGGGCTGCAGCCGAAGAACATCCAGCATCCTCCCATCAGGGAAGAAAAGAAGGAATGGGAGAAAGAAGAGCGAGAGCTACAGCAACCTCTTTAACTGCTACGAGATGGGATTTCTCCAGCAGTCCATAACCTTCACTTTGACCCAAGAAGTGCAATCCTTTTTTTGCTTCTTCTGGAAGAGAGAGGGGGCTACTTAGAAGATACTGATTTTAGCAGTTATCAATCTTTTAATTCAGCTTTCAGGAAAAAGATTCTTGCTTTGCAGCAGCACCATTAAAAAAAATTCCTAACCTACCAGTTCATCCTCACCTTTACAACCTTGTTGCTCCAACAAGGGAGTATTTTCAAAGCTAAAATTGCTACAAAAATAAAAAATAGTAGGGAGGAGACAGGAATCCTTCTGTGCCCCCTTCCTCCCTTTCTGAATCATTGGCATCCATTGCCCTCTTTCAGCAGCAACTCACATGAGTAATGATGGTCAGTCTCTGTCAGAAGGCAGCTCACACGAGATGATGATGGTCAGTCTCTCTCAGCAGCAACTCACATGAGATAATGATGGTCAGTCTCTGTCAGAAGGCAGCTCACACGAGATGATGATGGTCAATCTCTGTCAGCAGCAGCTCACGTGAGGTGATGATGGTTGGTCTCTCTCAGCAGCTCATAGGAACCTCCCTTATTCTATCTCCTCTTCTCTTTCTGGCCTTTCCCCACTGAATCCTCTCCTTCTCTCTTCTCTTCTCTCCTCCAAGCTTGCTCGAAAGAAACTTCTCTATCTCCATCCCTCCCTCTCCATCCGGCTTGCCCCACCGAAAAGGATAAAAACAAAATCCAGCCAACCTCCTCCCTCACTCTCCCTCTGTCTGGCTTTCCCCACCAGGAAAAAAGAAGAAAAGCTATCCCCCAGTCAACCTCCTCTTCCTTTTTAATGCCTCCCCAAGCACCGTGCCACACCACCAGCCACCGTGGAGGCTGTTGGGGGCTCCTAACCTCCACGTCGAATCCGCAGAACTCCAGCAAACCCTCCCAGCCAGAGCCAATCCCACCCCAACTCCCCTCTCCGCTACACATGTATGAGTTGGGTTTATTTGTTTATTAAATAATTATACAAATATTTATACATTTCAGAAAGGAGGGGAAAACGATACAAAAAGGGAGAAAATGATCCATATATACACATTCATAAATGATGGTCAATCTCAGGTTATTTGTTGCCCTTCTGTTAGATCTGCAAAAAAAAAATGATCTTAGTTAGAAGAAACATTTGCATCTTCAGATTCAGTGGTTGCTATAGGGATGTTCTGATAAAAATTTCCACGGTCATTATGAGCCGCAATCCTTATATCTCCAT